TGTCGTCCGGTTAAAATATGGCGCACTGATATTTAGCCACTTTTTCCGTGCCCGCTGGCTTGCCCAAACCCCAAGAGACGTGGAAACCACATAAAAGGTAGACGCTTAAATATGATTGCCGGGCCCCTTTAAAATAGTTCCCGTGTGTTTGTCGATCGAAAAAGCAGCAAATTCTGACTTCGCTCTGGTTTCAACGCTGCTAAGGACCTATGTCACCTTTAAAACAGAAGGGTAGGTTTTCACAATATTTGTGGCTGCTTGTTTTTGCAGTTGATCATTTTGGAGTCTTGAGTTTTGTAGATTCAAAAATAAAAGGGGGGGGGGGGGGCTTTTTTTTGATAGACATGCTTTAGTGGATATGCTATTTTTTGCAGTCATTTTATGGAACTATATTTACAGGCTAAATAAACTACCAGGCATAAAAGTGGGAGGGGAGGGAACCTTTATTCCAACTGAAGTGTTGCGCTATATGATTCATTCTTCAACAATTTATTACGTTATATTATGGAAATCTGCGCTGTAGTTACATGTGCGGCAGTGGCTGGTAAATGCCCTGCTCCTGCTTTCTTCAGGGACGCTGCATGCTCTCGTGCCCGGTTATTTATGCAGCGACCAGTTTGCCCAATGTAGCATTTTCCGCAGGACAGTGGGATACGGTATACAACTCCTGTTTGGCACGTGGCAAATCTCTGTGTTTGTCCATTGTTCAAGCTGACCTTCCTGCTTGAACTTGACTTTGATTCGGCTTTTTCTTAGTTTGGCTCGCATGCCTCGCTTTGATAGGCTGTTCTAAAATTCCATCGTTGGTTTCAGGCTGCATGTAAGCCATAAGCTACTTCTGCCCTACCTCCAAAATGCTTCATCTGATGCAATACTTGTCCAATCTAAAATACACTGTTTGCATGAACGTTTGCGCCATTAAACGGGACCTCACGTGCTAGGAAAACTATAAGGTCTTGAAAAGTGGGTCAAACTGCACCAGTCTTATCTTTCCTAGTATTGCCGTACAAATTTTCAGAATAGCTAAAGGTACAAATGTGCAATGGGAAGCATGGCCCTTGGAGGGCTGTCTGCTAACAGATGCCATGGAGAGGTGCAGTAGGATGACAACGATCCAGTGCAAAACGGGAAAGGAGAACCCAAAGGGGGAGAGAAAGAGCCCAGCGCAGAAGGAGAATATCGCTGAGGGTCAGAGGTCTGCATGATAAGTGGAGATTGTAGGCAAACAGTCCGTGAATAAGTTACAGGTAGGCGGAAGACCTTTCGCTTTTAGTGCAAAAACACAGATAGGTGAGCATTTGCCTCTGACAGTTGTGACGGCTGGGTGACCCAGCCATCCTGTTTATTTTTGGATATGTGCCACTACCACGGGACAAGCAGTAGGATATGACACCATGTGCTCATTTTCTTAAGTGAAAATGATGAGTTGACACCTTACTTGGTGTTCACTCACCATTTCTCTAAAAATTTCGGAAAAAAAAAAGAAAAAAAAATCCAAAAGACACTTTGATTCTCCTAAAAAATAAACTCAGAAAATGCAGAATACTACCTTTAACTAAGGAAAATAGGGTGCTATTTCGTCCTAACGTCCATTCTCTTTAAGCTTTCTTTGCGAGGAGAATGTAAATTTTGTGATTGAAGTGAAGCAAGCGAGAACGGTCATTGTATCGGGGTCGCAAAAGGGAAGTATCTAGCAGACCGAGCATACCTTTTTGAGGAGACCATGGTGGCGCATAGTTACATAACACAGAGTGGAAGAAAAATGGCAACACCAAAGAAGCGGTGGAGGCAGGAGGTTCAGCTTATCCAGTTAGCGCCTTTAGCCCCTAATCATATTCGACCAGCTAGCCCAAATTCAACGCCTTCTACAGCTTATCTCCCCACTGAGCTTCGGCCACTTTTACTTTCATCCACCGACCAAAGTTTGTGCTTTCGTCACTGTACGAGGACGGTGCACATGTGCTCGGAACTGTTCTTGCAAAAGGTCCATTGCAGAGCAGCTGTGCGTGCTGTGTAGCAGCTTCATTGAGGGCTGCACATATGCTGGGGTAGCATTGCAGCAATCATTGCTGGATTGTTCGCCAACTAGGGGCCTGCATTTGACAACGGCACCAATCGTAGCTGTTGGCTGACTGTTTCAAACAGCATCTTTGCTCCGACTTTGCATTTACACGCAACATGCGAAATTCCCTTTTATCTCAAACTGTTTGCGGTTCCATTTTTGAATGTTTTCTTGCCTTTTCATTTCCGTGGGTTGACAGCGTCTCGTTCGTGCCTCAAGTTTGCCTGTCATCTTTGGGGGAGAAGCCTTCCAGTTATGTTCCGTCCCTTTTGCTGCGATGCAGTCGATGTGTGAAATGGCTGGTGTCTGCCACTGGCTTCAAAAACTTGCAGTTTGTCAAGGGCTTGCCTGTTTTCATATATTAGTTTTTACTCTAATGGTGTACTGCATGCTTTTTGAGATCTTGTTGTGACTGTAATGCACACTTCTAAGGAGTAGGGTGTCGGTATTCAATCCCCAGGGAAATTAGTTTTGGGTGTGTGCCTCAAAATACTTGTTTTCTTAACTAGCATTGCTGCGCTATTGTTTCCTAATTCTTTGTCTCGAGTGAATTGTTGCAAATTACTCCGAGGCCTGGGGGCATTCAAATGCCATCAGACTGACGCTTCACTTCGACATGTTTTTGTGTCAATGTCAAGGTTTTTTTTTATTTTTTTATTTGTTGCATCAAATGTTTTTTTATCCTGATGGGGTGGTTTGAACAATGGCTGTCAGTATGTCTGACAGTAAGCAGGAAGTGTATGTTCAGCCAAACAAAATTTTGGGAAACAAACAACTTTCTCAGTTGTTGAAAATGCTGCAGTTGCCATAGATGTTGGTTGCTCAGAAAACATTTGCAATTGGATTCCCATTGATTGCATATTATTTGGTTAATAGCAGTCTATGCTAGCATATGTCTGTGATGATTTATCCGTAAGGGATTAGGAATGAAACCTTGGGATACCAATTCTCGTGTCCTGTAAGACTATGATATATTCTCAGTTGTAGCAGAAGTCATTAATAGAAATTATGAAGTTTAATAGAGATGCAGGTGCCCGACACTCATTTTCACCTGAAGAACAATTGTAAAAATAAGTTTGCCTCGTGGAGTACTGCAAAATTCCCCCTTTACGTTGGGAGTTAACATGCTTGCGTGCAAATTAATGATAGGATATTTGTAATTTTATCAAGGCAGAAAACCTCCTTCAGAAACAAAAGGTCTCATTTATTTCCTCAAAGCTCTCTCATTTTAGAGAGATTTTACGGGGAAATGGTATTCCTCAGGGAGGTGTACTTAGCATCACTCTCTTTTTTCTTGAATTGAATTTGGTTGATAGTGCAATACCTCCTTCAGTGCTGTACTCTATATATATGTTGATGACCTACAGATTTTTGTCTTGTCCTCTAATTCATCAATTTGCAAACATCGGGTCCAACCTACAGTCAATAACTTGTTTAAATGGGCTGATGCAAATGTACTGTAGAATAACTTGTAATTGGGCTTCTTGGTGAACGTTAAGAAGCATGGTCTAAGGTGCAAAAAACACAATCCAGCACACACAGGTGCCCGTGCGAGTGTCTTCTTCCTGTGTTAGTTGTTTTTTTGCACCTTACAACATGCTTCCTGATACAAATAATTTGAGATTAAAAAAAAGATAACAGCTTATGGTTTTTTTTTAGTCATCGTGGAATTTTCTATGAACCATCTTTAAATAATGTAAACAACTTAATTTTCGTGTGGGCCTAAATTTCACTAATCGCCTACAATTTGCGAAAAATAGGTTCCGCAAACAATTCCAGTAAAACGTAACTGCATTGGAATCTATATTGAGATCCCACCGCATCGCGAACATTAGAACCCGCAAATTATTCTGAAATTTCAGCTTTGACCTAAATTGCAAAATACTGAGCCTGCAAAAAATAAGTCGTTTACAGTATGTATGAAATTCGAATTGCCGTAAAAAGTTAGATTCTTAGTTATCTTATTTGATCGCAAATTGGCTTTACTTCTGCACACCAAGAACCTAAAACACGAGTGCCTCGTATCTCCGTTAATGTTTTGTTGCATATGTTTTGGGGATTGGACCAATTTTGTTGCATCTATCGCTCAGTTATTTGTTCCCAGCTCGACTGGGGTAGCCTCGTGTACAGCTCCACTCAGGCATCGATCGTGAAGGCGTTGGACCCCGTTCATCACCGGAGGCTGCAATTAGCAACCAATTCGTTCCACACCTCCCCGATGCTTAGTGTTTGCACGGGGGATAAGGAAGCGTTCCAGGGCGCTGGAGATTCGACCCAGGCATTATGTACTGCCGCCAATATTCCGTCGTCCCCCTTCCTCAGCGAGGAACGGGAGTTCAGTGAAATCTGTTAAAATAGATTCAAAGCATCCAGTAGTTAGGTGTCCATCATTGCATCTGCATTATGCAAAATGCGCACAAATTGCTTCGTTGCTAGCATTATTTTTTTGTATTCAACCATCGTATACACCAACTCACGCTTACAAACAAACCGGCGTGACTCTAGCAGCGTGCCACCGTCACTGCACATTCGTGATGGGGTGTGGCTAAGAAGCGCCGTGTCCCAAATCAACAAAGCATTGGTTTGTGATGTTGTCGGCTTGAGTGGGAGTCCCCGTGCTCTTTTTTTGCGTTAGAATTATTGATCCCACATATTTTTAAGAATGTTTGAAAAAAAAAATTGGGGTGTGCTTTTGTATGCAGAGTTTAGAATTTAGTGTGCCTCAACGGGCGACTTGTCTCCGAGCTTCACATGAAAAATTTAGCCACTGCTGTACAACCGCTAGCCTGGGGTCTTCACCACGCAGTAGTGATACACCACCGCACGCCGGTACGGTGTGGGCCGTGGGTTGCCGACCCCTGATCGAGACAGCGTCTAGCAAAGTGAAACGTTTTGTGTTCCCTTTGGTAAGAGATGTCCATTCTCTGTTTCCATGCAGGCATGAGCAGGGTGGCCTCGCAGGAGATAGCGGGCAAGTATGGGCTGTGCCCCGGCGGAGGGGGGGGGCGGCGCCGGGGGGGAGGAGGGGGGTGGCAGCCTGCAACAGCAGCTCGAGGAGCTGAAGCGCAAGCTAAAGGAGGAACACCGCAAGGAGCTCAAGATCAAGGAGGGTGCGGAGAACCTGCGCAAGGCCACCACAGACCGCAAGAGCCTGGCCCACGTCAACTCCATCGTGAAGAAGTCCAACTCGCGCCTCTGCGACCTCCGCCGGCAGCTGAGCGACCTCACGGCCGACATCCTCGTCATCCAGGGACACCCGTCTGCGCAGGGTGAGGAAAGTTTGCACGAGGTTGCCCACTTGCGACGGGAGACTTGCATTCGTGTTGCAGGGTTGCAACACGAGCGCAACCTGCAACGAAGTTACAGGACTGCGGAATTGTCACAGGTTTGGCTTTAGGAACAGAGGTTCAAATAGAACATTTCCTACGCCGATGATGTAAGGAAGGGGCACTGACACATGCATATCCTTTGGATAGTATCACTTGTGCTTCATACAGTTCCCTTTAGCGCCTGACATAGAACCGCTTCAGGACTCGAGTGTCTGCAAACAAGGGGGTGGTGTGCATTTGCAGTCTCGAACTTGTATTGCTAGGTGTCCTGCTGGAGAAAACTGGATGGACAGTGTGCTCTCGTAGCCTCATATTTAGGCATCTACCCGTTTCGCCAACATAGACTTTTCCACATGTAAAAGGTATCTGATAGACAACCTTGCCAAGCCAGTTAACATATTTGTCTGTATGCTTCGCTCGGAATTAATCTCGGGGCGAAGCTTTTTTTAAGCTTGTTAGGTGCTGAGAGAAAAATTTGCACCTCAAACCTGGAAGCCACCCTCTTTAGATTGTGTGAGATTTTGTGGATGTAGGGCACAACTGCTGGTTGGCCTCTTTTATCTGGGTTTCTATCTCATACTCTTCTTGATTATGGCATGCATTCTGAGATATCCAGCACAGTCGTCGAAAGATATTTACGAGCGATGAGTCTTTGTATTTGTGTGTTGAAGCTGTCTCTGTCAGAGAGGAAGCAAGGTTTTTTGAATGCAGCGCTCAATTTGCCAAAAATATCTAAATTTGGTGACGCTAAATCGTCGAATAGCATTTGCACGCGAAATAGTGATGACATTTTTCCTTCAAAGTCGGCCCTAGCATAATCACGAATTTTCTTAGTTTTCCTTTGACTTGTAAGATTTAGAAGTATTTAACGAAAAATGCGGGAGATAATGGTCAGTGAGACCAGGCATGCGCGTGTAATCGATCCGCAAGACGTGGGCTGGCTGTCCGGACTGGGATCTGGGCCTTGTACGATATAGACTGCTCTTTCTCTCTCAGATGAGCAGCCAGCGTTAATGGACAGCTACTATGGAGACAAGGGGGACGTTCCACTGTCCACGACGGACCAGAGGCTGCAGTCGCTCGAGAAGCAGCTCAACATCGAGCTCAAGGTAAATAAATAACCCCGCAGTGTATTATACCTCATACCAGGGGTGGCCAAGCTGCGGCTCCTCGCATGCTCAAGTGCGGCTCTTGGCTCCCCTTCCCCCGCCTCCCTCCCGGTCACACGACCCCAGAAAGAAAAATGGAACGCGTTTTAAACCGAAAGACAGGTTGGGGTTTTGTAGTCTTGTGCTACTGCTACCTTACGTACAATTGGACTGCTTTTGACTCGGGTAGATTGAAAATAGTTCATTTATTGCTCTAGACAAAAGTTTGGCCCCCTCCCCCCGCGGCTCTCGCAAGTTTCGTGGTTTTGTTCGCGGCTCTTAGACCGGATCAGCCCGGCCACCCCTGCTTTAGACTATATTCAACTCATATATGCAATTTTCGAAAAACCAAACATATTGCAATGGTTTACCATTTCAAGACCCGCGTCTTCGCTCAATCGAGTGTTGACTGTGACTTGTAATGAAAACTGTTGACACTTAGCCATTTATGGTTGTACGATAGGATAGTATGCTATCGACTGTTATAGTGCAACCCATCTATAACGATCATGAGAAAACCCAAAACTTCAATCGTTATAACCGAGTATCGTTGTATCGGGGCTAGAAATTGATCATTTCCAGTCTAGAAACTCTAGGAACTGATCGTTATAAGCGGTACATTGTTATATGTGGCATCGTTATAACTGGGTTGCACTATACAGTGTAGACCGCATATAACGTATGTCGCGGGAGTCACGAAAATCCGCAATATAAGCGGTACCGCGCTATAACCAAAACATCAATTTTTCAGGCCAAAATACATGCCACGAGACAACTTACCTTTATAAAACAATTTATTTTATATTAGATGAAAAATAAAGCTTAGTTTGAGGAAAGTCTTTATTTCACCAGGCTAGTACACTTCTCTCTCAAGTGTGTCACACATTTTGAAACGGCGTCGCAGGTTGCGGACGGACATTGCGAGCGTTCAGGTTTGCTAACCGTAATCACTTTTCTCCGGTGATGAAAACGCGTGAAAATTCGCATCCTTTATACGGTACGCGCATGAAATGCTGCAAAAAAAGGCATGAAATGCGCGCATGAAATGCTCCAAATAAGAAATCCGGGCGATGTTCGAAAACACAAATGCGCACCACTGTAGTTGAAGTAAACAAACACGACGACACGGGCGTTTTTGCCGTCTTGAGAGTTCCGCCACGACATCGCCGCACGAGTAGGTGGATCTTCCCTTCAAGTATGTGCTGGGCTATCATAGCGACACACAACGAAAATTTACAGTCAAGGATAGCGCTTTTACGCGGAACGATGAGCTTCCACCACGCTGTCGACGCCGACGATCACCACCGACGCCATGTTCGCGGATAGAAGCCGGCTCGCGACCGGCATGCAACGCGCGCGAACGGCTGGTTGGGCTCGCCAACGCCTTGCGCCGTGAACGACACATGCGTGCGTCCCTCTGTCACTATGGCAACTGAAACCTCTCTTTTGCTTCTCCCCGCTTCTTCGAGCAACCTCCTTGCCATCGTTGCCCCCGCGAGTGCCGCTTGCGGCTAGCGGCGTTATCTGGTGTTGCACAGGGAAGCGTGCTCGCTGCGCCGGTCGGTCGGCGAAGCGCCCTCGCTGCTCCAGAAACCGCACTATAACCGGTATTTCCCCTCGCGCGCCTGCATTTTAAGCGGTGTGTAATTACATGGAGTTCTATGGGGGGTGAACCGGTGGTTTAAAAAAGCCGCATTATACCCGGTCCTGCACTATAAGCGGTTACGTCGTAAGTGGTCTATACTGCATATCGCCGTGCGTGCAACTAGCCAAGTAGGCAGTGCACTTGTGACCAAATGGTTATCATATTTGGCTCCCACGCAAAGAGCTGAGGTCCAATGCCTAGTAGTGGAGGCATCTTTTTGTTATTTTTCTAATTGTCGCGTTTTCCTAAATTGGAGAACTCTGTGACACGTTTGAAATGGCAATTCTATGAGCCGAATCTTCTTCGCCAATTGTTCCGCCCACGTGTGTCCAAAAGGGGCTCCACGTGGCGAGCGGGAGTCAGTCTCGCCCCAGCGTTCGATCCTGCTGTTTCGCCGCCATTGACGCCTGCAACGCTAGCCTTTTCCTATCTTGTTTTGGGCACAAGTTCGTCCCATTAAATGTTTAGTTTGCTTCAGTTTTCGTCGCCTCATCAATTGTCATTCTTGACAATATGATAGTCGACTATCGATAGTACCGTCAATAGCCTACCATCAAGAGTCATTATCGATAGTATACTGTCGACACTAGTGTGGATAGTTTTGTGCCAGTACCGCTTAGTTTTCTCCAGATGCTTGGGGTACAAAAGAGCCGTTGCTCCCTAGGTGAAGCAGGGGACGGAGAACATGCTGCAGATGTACAGCTGCGGGCCCTCCAAGGACCGCAAGCTGCTGGCCGAGGCCCAGCAGATGCAGGCGGACTCCAAGGCCAAGATCGACTACATCCGCATGATGATGGCGCGCCTGAGGCAGAGCCAGGACGCACACGCCAAGGGGAACCACGCCGACGGCGCCGCCACAGACGGAGGGGGAACCAACAACCACCTGGATTCGGCTGTTGTGGCAGGTCGGTGGCAGTGCCTGCATGTCCTCCCTACATTTCTGGTAAAGTCCACCGAGTCTGAGCTTCTTTTCTTGCGGCCGCGTATCGTCATTGACGCCCGTCAAAGCTGACTCCCGCTGCCTAAACATACGCGCGTCACAATTATTATTACGGTCACTCTCAATAACTCGAAGCTCACATGAACAGCAAAACACCTCGACTTAAAAGAACACGCGCAGTCGGACCATTTGTTTTTATTTGGTACTCACTTGGAGAAGTTGATCTTTGCTTGCCTCCGCTAATGGAGAATCACCACATTCTGCTAACCAAGATGTGCAGTGTGAACTATACTTCGCAAATCGCGAACCTTTCTTGGGCATCTTCGACAGTTTCTTCCATAAAATAAATATTCTAAATTGTACTTTATTGCGCCACGAGCAGTTTCCACGTCTGTGGCATTCGGCCATGTAGCACGGAAACCGACGAGAGTTTTTCTAGGCCTAGCCACTTGCCCTATCTCACCGTCTAAAAGCCGACCACCGATTGTGGCACGGTTGCCGACATTAATATATTCAGTGCACAAAGCATCTCATTCGGCCAGGTAATGCCTCGAACCACGCTTTGTTGGTCGTACACGCCGTGCGTAATACGTACTGCGTATTCTTTCAGGTTTCTCGCACTCGCTTTGTGCTCATTTCGCAACGGCGCACGCGCGTTCCCATAAAGACTGGATGCGAGGCTTCATTGAGAAAAAACGACGGGACTATCCCGGCCAAAATGGGTCCCCGGTGGTACGGGGTGCCAGACAGAACGGTCGAAGACCCGTATCCGCAGCGTCCCCGGCAGTGTTGCTCGCGCGGGCACGTGCCCCCTGTGGGAGTCGCTGAAAGGGCCTCCGGGTGCAGGCAAGGTGGTGGAGGGCACGTCCCCCTTGGAGCTCCAGATCGAGGACCTGCGGCACCGGCTGAAGGTGGAGTGCGCTGTCATTGAGGGGGCCAAGAACGTGCTCAAGCTCTGCCAGGGCAGCAAGGTTACCGACCGCAAGGTCTTCCAGGAGGTGAGACTCCCCCTCTTTCCGTGGGAGACATGGGTCTTTGGAACCAAAAACTCCATAAAAAAGTTTTTTGCAAAATGGTGATCTTAAAATCTACAGCTTCCTATATTGAAGATTCATATTTGAGCCATGATATCTCTTTATACTATCTGTATGGGCTGAAATTGCACTGAAGCTGATGCTAAAACAACACTTTCTCAAAACACAAATTTTGGACTCCTTACAAATTTTCAGGGGGATATCTCAGCATCTAGGGCTGACAGAAAGATAACTTTTTTAGCACCATGTAGCTAAATGTGCAAAGCATGCAATGTTGGATGCAGGTTTTTCAATATAGGTGTAGGGAAAGTTTTAACTGAAGCAATGTTTTATTGTTTGGTAGTTGCACATTGAGCACTGTACTTCAATGTGTTGTAAAGTCAATAATAATGGTTCAATTTAAAAAGTGCTTCCAACGTGCATTCTTCATAATTTGTAGTAATCTGACCATATGTTAAAACATTCTTTTCTAAAAAATGATTTTTCTCTATTGTTTTTGAAAACAAAGTCTGGTTAGTTATAATTATCCTGAGAAGTAAGCTACTAATTAAAAAAATAACATATTTGATATCAGCTCAGAGGTCTGATAAAGCTTGTGCTGTTTCATTGGGCTCGGTCAGAAAAACAGGGAAAAAAAGCCCAAGACCAGTGTGTTCCCCCTTAATGGCCAAGGAACCTCGGTCTGTGGTCAAACTCGAACTGGTTTTCCCTCACAATGAGCCGCAGCGGATGCCACCCGGCCGATCCGGCACCGCAAACGTCTCGCGTGTCACATTGGATAGGCTCCGACGGCTCGTGGCGTCGTCTGCGGTATAAAGTTTATGTTGAGGAATTCCCTAGAATCCCGGATAAACTCCCACTCGTGGGGAAGGGATGAATAGGAAGAAACGTTGGGTGGCGACGTCTTGGGACGAAAACGGTTCTTTTTCGACGGAAATAAGCCTAAAACATGTCGGTAGCCACTAGAGCTCGCTTGATATGGAAACCGGCGCTCCCGACACTGCCCTCTGGCGTTCGGCACCGATCCTCGAGTCGAGCTCTCGGGAAACGGTCACCCGAGGACCGCACTGTCAATGTCGGCGGAGTGTCTACCAAACTGTAAAACCGGAAGTTCTCGGTGCAAACTGGGCTCTAAGGGGGGAACCCGGCAATTCCACCCCAGTCACGTCATCTTGAAAGAGGCGCACGAAGACAAACTTCCATTTTTATCGTTTATGAGTCCCTAAATGGACGGTTCCTGCATATAGCATGTTTGCCAAATGACTTCATGACGCTAGAGCTCGTCTTTAAAGCTTCCCCACTCCGGAACGTTCAGGGCCCGTCGAGAGCGTGGCGGTCAAGTTAATTGCTGCTTCTTGGGTGAGACCATGTAGAAATTTAAACTGCGAAGTCCGTAGGATATAGCGGCATTTACAGATGAAAACTTCACTTGGACACACTGCGTCCCCGTAGGAGCCAGTCGGGGAATTTTTCATAAAATAGTCGGGGGGGGAAAGAAAATGCAATTTTGGTAGGTTAACGGGCCTCCCTTTTGTCAAGACGTAGGCGGTGGGGCCCAGTCACGTGACAGTCCCGTCCCCGTGGCCACGGTGCAAGATATTTAAGTCTGGACACTCAGCAAGGCGAACGCTGCGACTGATCGGGTAAAGTCCTGTTCGTCCACGCTCGAGTAGACTCTGCTGACAGCGTCTCCGCCGTCCGGATTGCGCAACTGAGAGAGAAAAAATAGGAACAAAAAAAAGTTAAAAAAATGTCTCATTTTCAAGGCACCGAGGCACTCGCTCCTTCCGCTCAGAGCGTCTCTTCTGACCTTGACGGACGTGGGCTCAAACACCACGCCGGGGATCTCTTCGCTTCAGCGTATTCGTAAAGCTGGTATTACCGCCGTTGAGGCGTGAAACTAGCGTCGGTAACGAAGCAACATACAAGCAACACGTGTACCGCGGGTGCCAAGTCCTATGTGACATGGCGTGACTGGAAAACTACTTTAACAAGCGAGAACGTCACCCATAGAGAAGCATGGGAAATGCGGCCTGGGGCAGGCTGCTTGCGACCAAGGCGAGGAGGGGATTTAACCCGGCAAGTGCGACGCGCGCGGCGTACACACCCACTCGTACCTCTTGCGCCGCGTTCCAGGCCCAGAGCAGCCTGGTGGAATCAAGCGAAAAGCTGGACCTGATCCGGCGCTCCCTGGAGCTGCGCCGGGCGGAGCTGTCCCCGGGCAGCGCCAAGTGGCAGCTGCTCAAACGGGAGCTGGACGGCAGCCAGCTGGCCAGCCCCTACTCGCCCTCCATCGTGGCCCACGGGGCCAGGGAGGGACACGTGGTGGGGGGCGGCTCCCCCGCCCCTCCCCCGGCCCCCCTGGCGCCCCACACCAGCTCCCTCTCCAAGCCGGCCTCTGTCACGGGCCAGCTGCAAGTCAGGTGGGTTGCGTCCGGTGCAAGCGCGGAGCTGGGATCAAACGGTGGGCTCCCTCAATTGACCCGGTCTACGTTGGCGCAGAAAAGTGTGGCAAAGTACGGGGCAGTGCTTGCAGTATGTGTTTGTTTAAATATCGGCTGCACTCGTAAATAGAATGCAGTGGTGTGCAATGAGTGTAGCTGGTGCCTGAGGTGAATCAAACGAGCCTAGTGATGCAGCAGGGGAGAGCACTTGAAAGCTGTAGTGTGTTTTTACAGCAGAGCTGTTGAGGGCTAGGTTCCCGAGGAACGTGTCCAGTACCAAAGAAATGTCGACTCAAAACTCTGGACAGCTACCGCCATCTATGAGCTACGGCGGCAACCAGACGACCGGCTTGCCAGTTGTCTGGTCGCTTAGTTATGCCGTATGGCGCTAGCCATGTCATGGCGTTTTCTTTACTCTGTATGTGACGGATGGCATCGATGGAGTTCGCCAATCGTTTGGTTATGTTTGGTAGCTGTCCTGGCTGTCCACCCTCCCATTAGGCCTAACGACGGGCGCGGCGGGTGTGAATGGCAGGGTATCGCTAGAGTGTGCGTCTCCGAGCCAAGAACGACGGAGAAATTTTCGGAGCACCAAGCTTTCTACTCGGTGCTCATGTCCCTCGTGATCTTCAAGAGTGCGTGCAGAGCCTGCGCACGACAACGAGTGCATGCTGGATGCTAGGTATCGGAAAGAGACGATGACGTTGGGCGCTCATCCTACCAGTAACTTCTGCGTCGCCCTAAAATTAAACCCTTAGAGAAAAGATTATACGAGCTCGATCGTGCTGACAAAGACTGGTAAGCGCAGAATGTGTGATAGGCCTTGCAGGGAAGAAGAAGAGGGCATCTAAACGGTACCGCCTACCCAAGGTTCGCTTTCATTTCCGACACGCCGTGAGATGGTGCTACGTGACCGAAAGGGCCGCGAAATGCACGAGCTCATTCGCGCGCTGTGGGGACGAGCTTGCTCTTGCGTGGTCCGTACCACTAAGCCTTGATGGCTTTGTCGCCAAAGCACTTGGCTCGCAACCTCGATGCGATGAGTTCCAATCCCGCCGGGGCACTCGAGTCTTTTTATACGATTGCTTTTGGGCATAACCCTTTTTGGTGTCACCGCTACAACCGGCCACTACAGCCTGCTGTTACAACCGGCCATAACAGTCAAACGTTATAACTCCGTGGAGATCAGCTGACAAAACAGATTCTGCAATAAAAATCATGAGCCATTCCACTCTGACGGCGGAGGACCAGCAAGGCTTTTAGCACACGACATAGACGTGACACAGAATTTAGCGTATGCTCCATTAAAGTTGTCCAGTTTAGCAGCATGTATTCGCATCTTTTTGATGCGTTCTCCGCCCCGCGACGTTTGTTGTCTTGTCTGGTTTCCGCGTGCTGTTGGCGTTTTGTGCACTATTTTCATCGGTGGTGTTTGCCGCCCGCCGCAGCCGCTGATATCCTCAGTGCCGTTCCCACCCTTGCTCTTTGTAGGCGCATTGCTATTCGGGCGTGCAGACTATACGTCTCCTCCCCATTACGACGAGGGAAGTGCAATAAACCTATTGCTATACAGTCGAACCTCGATATAACGAACTTCAATGTAACGAAATCCTCGATTTAACGAAGTATTTTATTTTTCATAATTTTTTGCCCATAGACCCCATGTATTTTTAGTCTCTATATAACGAAGTCTATTTTGCTGCTATTTCGATATAACGAAGCGCCATTGCAATAGAAGGCAATAAATAACTAGACTCTAAAAAACAACTTCGCAAAAAAATTGTGGTTAAAAAAAAATTATGCGCAAACGCGAGCGCTTGATAGGTTACTTCACGGGGACAGGCCTTCCAACGTCCCTAGGCCACCTAGGCTGCCCGAGGGTGCGGCGCCGGTAGCGCCGGCGAGGCATGCGGCAAAGCGGATTCCGCGAGGCTGGACATAAAATGCCGAGCAAAAAGTTAACACGGCATAACAGCATCACCACTGACATTCACTGATCATCATAGTCCACTGTACCGCGGGTAGCGCGGGAGCCAACTTCAGCGGGCGAGCGACGTGATGGCGCGACCGCACGGGCAGTGCCATCTAGGAGAAGACCGATTATCGCTGGATTATCGTCTTGCGAGCGTGATGCAAAGCAAAGGCGCAAGCACACTGTGGGCCTGTGGGCGCAAGGGGGCAAGTAAACTGTGCGGGCAAGAGTGCTGTGTAGGTTGGAAACATTGGCACTGCCTAAACTAAACAGCTTTATTTTTGAACTGGGCGGTTCACTCACGTGCTTGCTGCCATAGGGAAACGTAAAGTTCTTTCTTTGGATGAGAAAGCAAACGTTTTGGACGCCATCCTGAAGAAAGTGCCGAGATCACGAGCACTCGGGAAGTGCTCGACGCAATGGACGTACTGAGGGGGTACACGGCGTCGCATGGGCAGCAAGATGCCGTGCAAGCGCTCTGGGCGCTCGAACGCCGTATGACCAGTATGACGCCGCTGCTACTGTCAAACAAGGCGCAAGCAAAACTCGCGGACTACTTTGCCCCTAAATAAATGTCATTTTCGGTGAGTTTTCATACCCGTAAAATGTTTCGGAATTTGTTTTTTTGCATGCTAAAGCCAAATTTCGATTTAGCGAAATTTCAATGTAACGAAGTAAATTGCGAATTTGACCGACTTTGTTACATCGAGGTTTAACTGTATATTATCCAATCATCAAGGAGAATGCAGGGAAGGGTGTTCCATGCACCGCACGTGCCGGCGTCTGCAGCAGTAACTGTTCTAAGGCAGTGATGTGATTGCTGCGCCAATTGCGCCAAACTGCGCCAAGGGGCTAACCCTGCTACATCCTGCTACATTTTGCCAAAATGTAGGTAATCTGCGCCAAGCCTGCACCAAAGGAGCAATTTCGGTCGCCTTACAAAACCGAAACTAGACTGAGAACCGTAATTGCGCATGCGTCGGCTAGGTGGCACAAGTGGCCGCGCGTTCATCCCCGTAGCGCCGTCTTTCCTGCACGGCATGTTGATCCAGCGTCTCACGTGACTGAATTCGGCAAATAGCAGCGCCGCGCGTTCGAGGCGCGCGGCGCGCTCAAAAGCAGGGGAACGTTCGGCGGGGTGCGTGCAACGTCTACTTTCCTGCATGGCACTTGATCCGGCTCCTCACGTGATCGGATCTCGGCGAATAGCGGCGCGGCGGCACGTGGAAAACAGACGCGCAACTCTGGCTCCCGCGGAACTCTACCCATCACAAAGTACCCTGCATCAATCGTCCATCCGGTCTTGCATGTTTTTTCCCGTCGTCCTAACCTCCTTGCCGCCGTCTCGCGTTTCGCGCCCTCGTGCCCAACATTGCCCGTGCACTCGTCGTCTCCAAAATCTCGTCTCGCGTCTTTTTTAAATTTTTTCAACGATAGAAGCGGGCGTGTGTGGACGCTCCGACGCTAGTGTGCCGGGTGCCAGCCATGCCGTCATGCTGTGAAACAAAACCACGTTTTTTGGGCGGCGAGAGTTACTTTGTGAACTGAAACGCTCGCGCGACCGCAGTCACCGTGGTCGCGCGACGTCGGGTGTTGCCGTCCCCACGTCGCTGCAGATATGGCGCTTTCTAAACTTGTTTATCGACATTCCTGGCCTTCTTTAAATCATACTCTACTACAAAAAACCCCTAACTCAACGTCTGCTTGTCGAAATATTGATTACCTCGGTTTCTCTCGGTGGACTTTCTTTCGAGAGGGAGCCCGGTACGTGAAAAATCTGCCGCGAAAGAAAGTTGGTGAAGAGAAGTGAGCTAAAGCAAAGAAGGCAATGTGTGAACCCGCACATCGCGTTTGTTTGTCTCGAGTTTGGTCGTTGCACAAAGCGCTCCAAGAACGTTTTGACCCTGGCTCGCGATGTCATGCATCGATGCACTCAGGTTCTTTTTTTTTTTTTCTGTATGTTTAGCTTGTACATCGCCTGCCGGCCTACCTACCAAGCACAGGCCGCTCAACATTTTTTTTTTTTTTTTGTATGTTGGACAGTTACATTTTGCATACTATTTTGGGAACCAGTTGGCGGCAGAGGAGAGGTGCATTGTTTCAGTTTCGATTCAACAGCCGTTGTCTCTGCTCGCGCAACGAAGCACGGCCACTGCAAGCCTGCTGAAGTTGCCCTCACGTGCATATGAACATGACTGCATGACAGAGACGCCAGCCGGGACACTTGCAATTCATTGTTTTGCATTTGCTTACTTTTGACGAAAACCTGGTATGTCGGGAACCAGTAAATCGGTGGCAAGCGTTCTTTTCGGAATTGCTCGGCACGCCTATAACACTGTACACGTGTGCGATGTCTCAGCAGTAAAACACAAACAGCAAGTTCTGTCACAACACACCACAAAGTGCCCTTCGTTTGTCCATCAATTAAAACAAATATATTTATTTTTCTAAGAATATCTGCTCCAAAAGCCACTTTTGCTGCTCCAAAACCAGTCTTAAGTAGTAACGCGTTACTAGTAACGCGTTACTGTAACTTCGTTACTTTTTCGGTAACTTGTAACTGTAACGAGTTACTTTTTTAGAATGTAACTTGTAACTGTAGTTCTATTACTTTTTTCTGAGGTAACGATGAAAGTAACGAAGTTACTTTTGTCGTTACTTTTCAGTTCTTTGTGAATAATATATCATTAAACGAGTATAATCTAGCTATTCCTTGCACTTTCCAAAGTGTCTGTTCCGGCATTTTGAGTGTCATTTGGCCTTGCACAAACTTGAGAATACATTCTTTCTCGCGAGTCACTATCCGAATATAGCCACGTGTAGATTTGATGAAGAAAAAAAAAAAAAAAAATGTAGTTATCTTGACGCGCTTGCTTGTACTTTGTGACTGAACACTTACATCTTAGTATATTGAAGCACTACCTCTTTTGCGGTTTTTTTCTTTTCTGCGCACGCATTTTAATCGGGTGAATCAACCGTGAAACAACAATACACGCGGAGGGAACTT